ATGCTATTCATGCCTTTTTGGGGGGGAAGGGCCCATTTTTGCAAAAAAACAGGCTGTTTTGGTGAAGTTTGTAGAATGCAAAAACTTTTTTTCTTAATTTCGCTTTTCAAAACCTTGGTGCGTCTTATACTCTGGTGACTCTTATACTCTAAAAAATACAGTAAATAGCATAATTGAATACTGTCCTACTTTTAACTGTCATGAGTAACACAATATTTGTAAGTTTATAACTTTGCTGTTTATTTTGTACTATGCATGCATTTATTCCTTTATCTGAAGAATGGGGAGAAAGAAAAAAGATATATAATTTTACTTTTGGTATTCTCTTCCTTGGAAATGTCAAGTTTATATAATTATTACAGCCGAATTTGGATGATTTGGTTGAACCAGGTTCAATTCTTTCTCCATTTTGCTTTACCATGGTACCTGTTCAAACATAAAGAAATAAAGTAAATTAAGGCATCATCCATTAATTTGGAAATCATATAAAGCAAGTCATTTATACTTTTCAAGTATTTTTCCTGTAAAACTAATTTCTAATTTATTGTTAACTTCAGAAAGTCTTTCATTACAAAAAAAAAACTGAACACTGAAAAAGCAACATTATTCTTCAAACTAAATATTACAATCACTCTGAACTTAGAATAGAGATGGACATCTCTCAAGGCACATTCAGCTCCCACTCAAATACCCTAAACTTCACTGCAAAAATTTATAGTAAAACAGCTGAATTTCAGCAGCCCTGGAAAAACAAATGAAGTAAAAATGGTTTGTCTCCTGTTCCCAGTTCCATTTTTATCCCCCACCATCACAACCCCAAAAACTTGAAATTGTAAAAAGTTGGACATTTTTATAATAACCTCTATAACTGTCCCTCTAAGAAATCTGGAAAAAAAGACCTAAGATGAGCCTGAGAAATGGGATATCAGGCCACTGTTGACTTTTAGGAAGTTTTATGGGTGAGGATGGAAGTGGCCTACCACTTCTGTTTCTATCCTTAACCACTACATGAAAAGGACATAAAATTTGGCCTTGTCCCTTCCAATGAAGTCACGGTTTCATTAGATGTCTTTCTGTGACTGTTTAGAAAGTTGGGAGATAGGTTTAAAGCCTTCAACGACTCAACCACTGACAAATGCAGACACAAAAATTATAACACGTTGAGCAGAACTGAGTCAAAGCATGATATATATCTGAATAAATCCATTACGATTAGCAGATTGTAATTATTACTTTACATAAAATATATTTGTGCATGCCTAAGAACTCTTCTACTGTACAAATTTTAATGCAAACTGAGTGAAGAGTGGTCCGGCCTCTTCTTTTCCACATTTTGCTTATGACTATGTGAAAGGGGCAAAAGTATATTGGATTATGTAGATTTCTAAGTATTACTGACCCATATCATAGCACTTGGAAAACAATAAACCGTATTTTTTTGGAGTTTAAAATGCACCAGAGTATAAGACGCACCAAGATTTTGAAGAGGCAAATTTAAAAAAAAAGTTTTTGCAGTCTGCAGACCTCCCCAAAACAGCCCATTTTTCGTGAAAATGGGCCCATTTTTTTTTTCAAAAAAAGGGCATGAATAGCCTTT